TTTTCCACTAAGCAAGTGGTAAATTTATATAAATAAAAATTAATTACCGCATGAAAGATCAACACCTCAGAAATACTGAACAGATTTCGATGAACACTCGCACTTTCAATTGGACCTGCTAAATGAAATTGTTGTCCAGATCTAGAAAACAGTCACGTAAAGCCAAGGCGGATCGTTAGTCGGCATATAAAGTTGAGATTACAAATGGGATCCAACTTGTTCACGTAACGTGTGTCTGTCAAGACTTAGTATTCATACCTCTCTAATTATTAGTATTTAAAATTTGCGAAACGAATATTTGAAATGTAAAACAATAATCATCATCAATAAATTTATAAATCAATTTAGTCGATCATTTGATTCATTTTAAGTCTAGTCCTATTTTTTTAAATATTTTTCGGCATATAAAGGAAAAAAATAAATAACAAAACAAAAACGAGTATATCGATATCGATTGTAGCTAACATTGCGAACGAAATCACTATAAATTAAGGACATAATGTTTTGTAAAGCAACGTCACACATAATACTACTATATATATAATAGGGATGTCATTTTTTCTAATAAATCCGAACATACGAGATACTTTCTCTCATATTTTGCATAGTATAAAGAGACCAAAGATGACCACTTGACATTTCTATTTCCACGCTTAAATAATACGCAACATCTTTCCGTAGATATATCTATTTTTGCCTTATTCGAAAATTAAATAAGAAAAGGGAGACAAGTATATTAACTCAATTTATGTTGAATTGTAAGTTCTCTCTATGCATACCGTAGACAGAGAAACCTATAGACCAATGATCGGCGTGGCCTCGAGTGAGAAAGGACGATAACGAATTTTTAGGATAATCTTCATGACTTTTAAACACATTTACATAAAAATTTTAATTGTTCTAAGAACTGAACTGAACAAGATTCACCAACCTTAAGCTCTCAAAACACTTTTTTCTCACTTAAACCAACTTGTAAACTCCTTAAATCACTACGCTGTTAAAGTTGTTTAGCAAACTGTAGAGTTTGCTAAACAAAAAAACCGGCACGGAGAAAGGTACAAACAATCACACCGCTCTATCTCATTACTATGCAAGACGTATGCATAAATCTATCTTTTTCGTGTGCGGATGCGAAAGAAGGCGTCAATTTGTCTATAGGTTTCTCTGTCTACGATGCATAAGTATTTATTTTACTAAAACTGGCTTTACGGCTTTGGGTACTAGCCCTTCTGAGCTTATAATTTCTTTCAGAATCTTCATTTTCTGGCACCCAAGCGATCAAATTAACTTGAGATTTATATCAACATCAAAGCATTTGTTTCGTCGTTTTCTCTAATAGTTCACACGCGCAGACACTTAATTCACAAAATCACATCACCTTTACCATTATTCAAGCGACAAAACAGGAGCGACAGTTCGTCGTCGGCCAAGTACCATACAAAACTCATGCACACCTATGTATGTAATTACTCTAAGAGGACAACGATCGCTGTAGAAAATAGTGTCCTAGAAATATGGATGGATAAGTGAGGCGCTGCAATCGCTAAGTTCTCTCAATAAAAGTCATTTTCAGTCTGTTTTTGCTAAACCACTTGAACATCCACGCACAATAAAATATTTCTTCATTTTTTCATGTTTTCTTTTTGTCAAAAATTTTAAAATTTCGGAGCACGATTATTTTCTCACCTACGCCTTTAAGAAAATTTGTACATTATTCAACTAACTTCATTTACTTGTACTCATAAACAGCTAACTTCGCAGCCACTACTCACTAAAGTTGTTCGAAATGACTATAAATCAATAGCACCCTACAGACTATAAACTAGAAATTTCCCTTAAAACATAGCGGTATTTATAAAAAAGCGTGTAAAAGGCCGGCAAGCGCATTAAGTTTAGCAGCACGCTATATCTCGGAGCACGCTGCATTACACGTCGTTCATTGGATAGATCGCGTGCTATATAAGAACATTGTTTCGTAATAAGTCGCATTTTAGATTAAAATAAAATAAAGTGGTAAAGAAAAATTGAAGAACGCTCTTTCATACTTTTCAGGCTTACGACTTTTTATAATCCTAAAAATATTTTTAAGGATTGTACTTTTTAAAACAAAATAAAATTAAACATTTTTTATTATAATTGATGTAAACGTTATTTTAACCTTAATATAAATTATAAATCAAAGGTGTATTTAAAAGTTTATTGATTGTATATACAAAAATCAACTATTTACAAACACTATTATATACACTTTTGTATCTATATTTTATTTACATTTAAAAACATTAGTTAGGTTTCTTTTGTAGCAGACAACTGTGTCCTTCGATCACTTATAAATATACAGTATACACTAACTAAATAACATCTAACACTAAATTAGTTCGCGCGCGATGAATAGCGTGCTGCTAGATTAAATTTGCGTCACACGTCTACTCCCAACAGCCGCTTGATATGGATAGCGCCAAAGCGTCATAGCGCCATGACGACTACTTACATAGCACGCGCTATGCGTTATGAAGAGATAGCGCGCTATAATATGGCGCTATGCGCTACATTAACCACCATTACTAATCACCGACGGCAGCGTCGCTATAAATTCTACAAAGTTTCAGGGACAGGCGGGCTATGCTTCAGAGATGGGCTGAGTGATGATTTTTCTGTATCAATGACTGCATGACAATGACAAAAAAATATCAGTGACGGGAACAATGACAAAATCATCAATGATTTTTATCTGAGTATTAGATCTCGTCACTTCAATTGTGACTAGATACTGAAATGATCGCGGAACGGCTTAGTTATCATTAGTTATTTATGGTCGCGTAAATACGCACCTCCAATCTTACCTTCATGCTTTTTCCAGGCTTAGGACTGCAAAAGACTGGCAACGTAGGTAATAGTACTTAGTAGGTACTTACCTAATAAAAAAAACTATCATTCTGCTTTGCTTTGATACATTTAAAAGATTGGTATATTTACAATAATCAATTATCAATAATATTTGTTATTTAATTTTTTTTGTTATTTGTATTTTTGTTGTTTTTTTCTGTAGAAATATTTACATTTTCTTGCCCATTGACGTTTAAAACATTAGTTGTTTAACTTTTGCAATTCCTAGACGAGTGCGTCTTTCAGTTACCATGGTACCAGCTCGTGAAAATACCCTTTCACATGGCACTGATGTTTCTATCACACAGCATTTATTCAGAACTAATTTTGCCTTTAACGCTAAATGTGTAAACTTGGTTTTAAAATCAATGATATAGGTAACTTCACTAAACTAAATTCACTATAACGTATCAAAAAGCCAATTATAGCGAGAATACATTACACAACGTATTTCGTACGTGTGGTTGGTCGTCTTCGTCTAACCAAAACAATGATTCACTCGATAATAAATTACTAAATGCTAGATAAAATAGCATTCGTAATTTGCCGTGCATTTCGCGCGTAAACGTAAACCACGCAAGTAAAAGCATTGTTTGTTGCCGTTCCGTGCAGTGTGCTGTGCACCCTCGCGCCGGTCATTTTATCGAAACTTGTAAGTTCTGTGACTTCAGTTCAGCCAGTACCTATCGCCGATCGAGAAGTCTCGCAACGTCGCACGTCACACCGCAGCGCCCGGGGCGGCCCGAGACCACCCGATCCGAATCACCGAAGCTCGCGTTCATTCAAGAAATGATTTAAAAGCATTGATGATTTTGTCGTTGTCATTTCATGATGACATGATTTTAAAATATCGATGATTTTTACCTGTGACATGATATCGGACTCATCTCTACTATGCTTTAGTTTGTAGCGATCGTTCTATCGTTCTCCCCGTTCTCCTCTCTAACCTCCATGGTAGACATGTGTAAATCACTCATTACTAGCGACCGAATCATCCTAGTACATTTCGTCACGCGTACTGGTACATTCGGATCGATCATTCAAATGGATCATTTCAGGCTCCAGTACTCTGTGAGTCTGTGAGATCCATTGAGAACCGAAAATTTTCTATTTGAGATTTGTAATAGCGCCATCTACTACATGTTATAGGTAATAAAGTTATTTTATCGAACTAAAACTTATTAACTTTCAAGGTGGTAAGATCAATCGACGCTAGATGACATAAACACAAAAACCTCAAGTTATCGTATATTTTAAGTATTTAATAAATTTGTTTATTCTTAAATTTCATTCCTAATAATCTAACAATACACAATTTCATCTTACTTTACATGTCTAAAAATAGGGACTGTAACATTTATTTGCTACGAAATTAAACTTTTACCTAACTTATACTTATATAAGATGGTTGAAAATTATCTTTAAATAAATCATTTATCATGAAATCTTTTGAAGTGTTATTTTTAGTAAACTCTAAGGAATTATATTTTTAACTCGTAGATTTAACATATAAATATAAGAAAACGTAAAATAGTTTTTAATTTAGGTAACAATATTATAATAAAAAACCCTTAAATAATAAATACTCCTGTTACTCTGCAGTTTCCGTATATATTCTCCGCTAGGAGTAATGGTGTTCTGTGTATATATTACTCTACTATACTCCATGCTCTGCAGTCTGCACTGTTAATTCAATTCGCCTGTTTATTCAGATCATTCGGGATTCGGTCGGGTTGCGGCTCATTCACAATTCAAACAAATCGCGGGTTAAAAACGTACCGTCAATTGTTTGTGATTGGTTTTACTGGTACATTCAAAAACAAATGAATGAACCATCAATACTTTTAAGTGTACCAGCTCAAACGAACGAATCATGCATGATTGACACATGTCTACTCCATGGTTCGCACTGGTATTTTATATGTTTCACGATTTGTTTTAAAACGTGTTTTTATTGTTATCAAAATTAGTTGCTAAACATGGAATGGACAAAAACAAATACATTAAAATTTATCAAGCTGTGGCAAGGGTTTCCATGTTTATGGAATAACAAATTATCTGATTATAAAAACAGGCATAAGCGTCAAGATGCTTTTTTAAATTTAGCCCAGCAAATGAATTTAGATGCTCATATAATTGAGAAGAAGATTTTATCTTTAAAGACCCAATATAATAGGGAATTAAATAAATTAAAGACTAAGTCTGAACTTGGAGAAGATGAGATAACATATTGGTATGCTTTTGAGCATTTACATTTTTTAAAGGACGTTAAGCTACCACAACCTAATACTGATCCATTATTGGTAAGTAAAGTTTTTTAATTCATCAGTTACAGTTATTTGCTTGTTGACACAAATAGTCTACAACTTGTTTTATTTCTTTACATATTTTTGAATGTTTAGGTTGGTGTGTCCTAATGTTCTTGAATTCAGCATATAAGGGAAAAGTTATGTACATTTTACACACAATTTTCCCCTTATAGCATCAAAAAGCATAAAAATGAGTATAATACAAAATTTATATCTAATTTGTTAAAATCTGAATACTATGGTTCAATCATGATCAAATCATGATTATTTTTCAGTTGCTTTAAAACTATTACTTTGTTTACTTTGTTGTACTTGGTAAAGGTAGAAATCATTGTAGGTAACTATGTTGTTTGTGGGCTTAAGTGATAAAATAAACAAATAGTAATTTCTATATTTATTGAGTAAATCTTTTATTGCAAACTACAACTATTTATGCATACCTATTTTGCCACTGCACACTCCCTATGTCAGCCATAAAATATTCTTTAAATTAATTTCTTACAACATTTCTCCTTGGCACTCTTTGAAGTGGTAGAAGACCCATATCCCTCTCTCCAAGCTCCTGGAGTTATTTCATCATTTTCCATGTAAGGTGCATCAAAAGTAGGTACCACCGAGAGTGTAAAAGTCACTAGAATTCTGATTTTTCAAGCAAGAGTAACTAATGAAGTTTTTTTAAAGGAGGAGGTAAAATTAGTTGATGCAACACTTGTGAATCTTGTTGATAATTTTCCAAAGGCATTTTTGTATACAAACCTAGCTCTGCTAAGACAGTAATTAAATATTCTTTAAGGACTGCCTGTTATTTGAGTACCAGGATATAGTTCGAATTAATTCTTACTTAATGCGAATGCATCATCACCTACAAAAACATACAGGCAGTGTTGTTATCAACCAGATAATGATTGTGGAGATGGAAAATTAAATTATTTTTTGTTAATAATCTATACAAAATTGTGCTATTGAAACCCCACTGTCTGATATTCATCCTTGTACTCTTACATCAACATAAATCAAATTATAGCGTCCGTGTACCACAGCCAAAAGTACAATACTGATTTTCGTTTTATTTTTAAAGTATTCACTGCCATTGTTAGCAGGTTGTATTATTTCCACATGTTTTTCATCTAGTGCTTCTAAACAATGAGAAAAATTCCAATATTTCTCAAAATCCTTTGCAATTTCTTTCTATTTATTTGTACTTGAAGGTATCAAAAACAAATTAATTTTTTTTTACTTTATTACAGATTATTCAAACTGAAAATAAGCTAGAAGAAGATAACATAACTGATAAGAATGAAAATGAGCAAAAACCTATTCTATCTTTTACTCAACGACAATCCCAACCCAGATGCACTTTAAAAAGGAAATATGATACTCAATTAAGCACACTCAATTTATTACAAGATGCATCAAATGCCAATATTAATAAGCAAGAAAAAGATGAGTTTTCTATTTTTGGAGAAACAATAGCTAGTGAGTTAAGGGACATAAAGAATAAAAAAGAAACATTAATTCTTAAAAAAGAAATAATGGACTTAATATTTAAAACGAAATTAAAAATTTTGGAGTCTGAAAATATCGTATCGCAGCCTTCCGTGGAACAGGACATTGTGATTGAAGGAATAACGGACCATTTCTATTATGTTGACAATACCAGTTAAATAACTGCAACTAAAGTATACAATAGCCCGTGATAATTTCATTATTATCACTTTTGTATAATCTATATCTATACAATTAAAATTTATTTAACAGAAACTTAAATTTTATTTAATAAAATTGAAGTTTTTTTGTTTACTATAAATAATATTAAGTTTACTCAAGAAAAGTTTACAAAGGCTCTATGTGGTAAGAAAATAAAATTACATTGTTTATATGAAATAGTTTTATTATAAAAAATGGGTATACCACGTACATGTATCAACACACCATTTATTAATTATTGAACGTTTAGATACTTATGTAAAACCACTGAGACTCCTGCTCATTATACTCAAGTTGTGTATTTATATCACCAAATTTTTCTTTTGGAATTTTAGCTTTGTGATTCATGTTACATCTAATGGACACTATTGGGATAACATCAGATTTTTTACAAGAGAGACTTCCAGAAATGTTGTGTAGAGGTCATAGTTTGTCTTATAAAAATATCTGCCGGTCTTCAATGTGAATCCACTTGACATTAATTTTAAAGTAGATTTTTTGTTTTAATGTATTTGTATTTATTACTATCCCCGAATATTCTTTTAATTTGTTAAAACTGTAAAAGTGGTCATTCATATCCTCAATAATCGATTTTTTTTTCGATGCCATTCTAATTATATTTCTGTGATTATTAGGAGTAAATACTTTTTCATTTCTTCTTTTAAGTTTTTTTACGCGGCCAAAATCTCTTTAACAATCTAATAATCTGTGACCTACTTCTGAAAATTTGTGTTCAATAGATGCAAATATATTATGTGAAATCATGTACTGATATAAATTAGAAATCAATTTGAATTTTTCCCATTGCAAGAATATGACCATAGTAACAAGTGTTGAGAACATTCTAAACTAGTTAGTTTATTTAAACAGTGAACTAAGAACTTCTATACTACCCTTTCCACCATAGTCTTCTGTCCAAGTGCAAAAATAAGACCTGTGCCCATCTCTATTAATTATATGGACCTTCATTATAAAAATATATTTGCCTCGAATTAAATGCTTTTGATATGAGAATTTTAGATAGAGGCTGCCTATTGCATGTCAAAACTAATATATGTTTTGTGAACTAAGCACTCACGCCAGTCACCCAAAGGGGTGTGGTGGGCTGGATCAGGATTCCGCGTCCCATACGCTTGCGGTTTGCCCAGCATGGGAACGGGAGCGGATAATCCTGGCAAGCTGGATCGGTCGGAACCTTTCCCTGCCAGTAGTCGTGTCGGCGATGCTGAGCGAGGACACGGCGTGGAGGGCCGTAGCCACCTTCTGTGAGTCCGTAATGGTCCAGAAGGAGGCTGCTGAGCGGGATCGGAGGAGGACAGATCCCGCTCGTAGACGACGCCGTCAAGGCGCTCGTCACGGCCCTCCCATTGAAGATGGTGATCTCCTACCAGAAACGGAAACTCTGGGGTTGCAAGCGTTTGGGGCAGGTGCTCCGAATGCCTAAAAATGTCACCCCTGAAGAGGACGATGGTTCGGAAGTGGTCCCGAAACATCGCAATAGCGCTGCAAGGGTGTTGGGGGTAGTAAGTACTGCCCCCGGAACGTGTTTTGAATAAAGCAAAGCGAGAGAGGGGCTCCGGTTGCGTTCCGAACGGAGATCCCGGGCCCCCTCTTACACGCAGATGGAGACAACCGGGGGTTTTAGCCGGTAAGAGTCCGGCATAACCTTTTGGGTGCCCCCGCAGCCAAAGGTGTCCATGAGGATTTCCCCACGAAAAAAAAGTCACCCAAAGGGGTGACATACCTCTGACATCATCATCCTGACATACCTCTCTCGCCCCCTTTACATCCATATATCTACGCACACACGCTCGTCGGTTAAGGGTACTCCCAATGTGGACCATTTTCAAAATATCGCCAATTTGGTCGATAAACTTTCGTATAGGACGTCCCTTCCCGACTCTGCCGTTTACATCTGCCATTTAAATTTGCTTTGTCACTCTTTCCTCATTCATTCTTTCTTGACTTGACCAAACCACCGAAGCATTCCTTTCTTAATCCTGGTCACAACATTATCTTGCATACCACATTTTTCTCTTATCACACAGTATCTCACTCTGTCATTCAGATTCAACCCTAGCATACTCTTTAAAGACCGCATTTCTACAAGTAGTTACGTTGTACCGGTTCTGGCTCACTGAGTCGGAAGTGGTACAAGTACAACGTTCGTTGGGTTTTGACAAAAAGGTTTTGACATGCTCTGATCACGAATCTGCGGTCCATTTTTGCGTAGGATGCACGGTTCCGGAGATATGCAGCCTCCACCGTCATTAGCGCTCCATTGTTCTTATCTATTGTTCATTGAATACCATCATTATCTATTATTCGTCAGCCTGTGCGTCGGCTCATCAGTGCTATTGTATTATACTCCTTTGTTCCTATCTACAATACTAATCTGAATCAACAATAAAACACATTACCTAATTTTGTTAAAATTTTTATTTATAAAATAAAAAATCTTATTACTTATTATCTATACAATATGAGCGAAACATCTCATCCACTAAAATATCTTTGTACAATGTGTTCCCTGTAAATATACTCGTAAAACTATGCATTGAACATCCCTGAAACTTATATAGCAAATACATTAAGCAATATTCGCCACAAACTGAAGTCCACTCATTCTGAATCCTATCAACATTCCAGTTCCATCTTTTACAATTCCTTTTTAAAAACTCTAGATGATATCGTACAGTTGCTCGTCCATATAAATTAAAATATTGACCGACGTCATTCGTATCGATATATAAAGCTACCCAATGTGACCCTGGTTTATCATCTGTACCCAAATTGCATATTACATGTACATGTTTAATAAATAAATACATGTTTAATATAAAATAATTGAAACAAGTTTATTCATTATGTAACCATTTATATACCAAAATGAACTTAACAAAACATAGATTCTTATGACACTATAGTTTATTCAAAATGACCTCCGTGATTTTAAATACAGGCCTTCAATCTGCGTGGCCAGTCGTCTATCGCAGCACGAACGAGGTCCATGTCAATATCGGCGGCTGCCTTAATCAAGGATGTCTTGAGTGACTCCAAATTGGGATGAGGCTTTGAGCACGCCTTTTCCTCCAAGTGTTGCCATATCTTGTAATCTAACGGATTCAAATCTGGACTGGAGGAGGGCCAGTCTTCTTGCCGGATGAAGTCGATTTCACGCGCCGCCAACCAGTCTTGTGTGCTCTTCGCTCTATGAGCTGACGCCGAATCTTGTTGGAATACCCAGTGCCTGTTATTGAACATGGTATGAGAAACAGGTTACACAAGGTTCGTCAGAACTGTATTTTGATAAACAACTGCATTCGTTTTTCCATCTTTTTCACAAAAATGTACCTCTGTTAAGCCCCAATAAGAAACTCCCAACTATACCACGAGCGAGGATGGAAAATGACCTCGTTGGACACGCGGAATACGGTTGCTCGCTTCTTCACTACTGTGTGCGTACACCTTATCATTTTGTTTGTTGTAGCTCTCTTCTACGGTAAAAAATTTTTCATCCGAAAAAAGAATTTCCCGATATTTTTTTCCCGCGTACCGCTTCAACAAAGCGCAGCATCTCTTCAGTCTCAGGTCCATTAGACGAGCATTCAAACGATGTCCTGTTTTTCTTCGATATGCCCGAAGCCCTAAGTCTTCATTTAACACCCTTTTCACCGTGGTTCTGCTTAAGACTAAGTAGAAACTGAAGTAAGTAGAAACTGTTGCCCCATCTGAAGGGCCAACAGTTTCTACTTACGTTTGGGATTTCTTTAAATTCGCGTCTTCACAGCTTTTATCACTGCTGGAGTCCTAACAGACCGAGGGCACAGCGGTGACACTCCCTGTACGTGAGAGCTTAGGCGCCGGTGACCTTGAGTCGAAGCGTGTAACGCTAGGGTTGATATCGAACCGAAATGGAATATTATAGACTTGTACCAAAGAAGGTACATAGTAGGTATGTGTTATATATTATGTAAACTTATGTATTTGGGTAGTAAAGGATACGTTCAAATTTAAATCAACTTTTATTAAATGAGGAATATTAAAACTTCCGACAAAACCAAATATGCACGACAGTTAATGGTAATCTTAAATAATTAACCAACACTTAGTATTTCAGTACGCAATAATCAGTATTACCTACTATCCTTAAAAATAATTTACTCTTATATATTATTGAATTTTTCGATTAATTTTTTAATTTTCATTATTATTTCTAACAATTGCAAAAATTCGTATCATGTATATTTTTTTTAATAGAAAATCCAAAGATATGCAGGTTTCCTGGGACATGGCGGCCAACAAATTGTTCCCTATGTGTTGAGGAGATAAGTCATTTCTATTTCTAATGAAATAATCCATAAATACAACAATGAACAAATACAAAATCTCTTTATAGATATCTAAAATTTCTTGACTCTCTAGTGGTATTTTTAATAGTGTATATTTCAGTTAATGTAATATAATAAAATTATTGGCGATATATTAGTTTTATTGTCATGGTATTTCCCCATAATTCTTGTTAAGATCATATCGACTTTCATTAAAATGAGTTCACATATTTTTAGGTATCATAAAACATTATTAAAAATTAAACTAACAAAACAAGTGCCCTTGTTTTGTGCAGTGGAATTTATTTTAATTGTAATCACTTAACATCACGTTCAGTAATACTTACATATACTATAATATCATTTATTTAATAACAACATTAATAATTATCACAGCATATAAACCTAGCATACACGGCTATAAAAACTAATAACGTTACTTGGTAACATAAACTTAATACCTACATGAATAAAATGGTAATATGTACATTATGATATCAATAATATTCATATATTAATTGAAATATTATATCACTTGACGAATATATTCATATTAACTAATACTAACAAATATCGGTATTACTACTAGCCCTCGGCCAGGGCAGTCGGCGACTGCCCGTTCCACGCCCCGCGCGCCTCTCAAGGCCCCCGCACACATCCAGACACCCACACATAGCCACAAGTGATTTTACGTGCACACATGCTTAAGTGTCGTTTCTTTACGCGTA